GGGGTTTCACCATGTTGACCAGGATGGTCTCGATCTCTTGACCTCGTGATCCACCCGCCTCGGCCTCCCAAAGTGCTGGGATTACAGGCTTGAGCCACCGCGCCCGGCCCAAACTATCATATTTTTAATTCCCAAGGCCTCTCTTGTTCTCTGCACCATTTCATTAACTACAGGCAATGAGACTTTTTTTTTTGAGACAGAATCTTGCTCTGTCACCAGGCCCCAGGCTGGAGTGCAGTGGCGCAATCTCGGCTCACTGCAACCTCCAGCTCCAGGGTTCAAGCAATTCTCCTGCCTCAGCCTCCCAAGTAGCTGGGACTACAGGCACACACCACCACACCCAGCTAATTTTTTGTATTTTAGTAGAGATAGGGTTTCACCCTGCTGGCCAGGATGGTCTCGATCTCGACCTCATGAACCACCCACCTCAACCTCCCAAAGTGCTGGGATTACAGGCGTGAGCCAGCCCGAGACTTTTAGAAAGCAGACCGGCATGCATGCCTGGAGCTGAGTAGAGTGGCGTTGTCCCCGGGAGCTGAGTGACTCATGATGGTGACTGTGCAGAGACCTGCTGACTGCAGAATGGTAAATGGTCCATTTCTGTTTTGTCCCAGAAGTCAGAAATAGAGTTAATTCCTTTCCCCAGCATGGTTCCTGGCACACAGTAGGTACTCTCTGGGCACCTGTGACGGTCTGTTCTTACGTGACTAGCCTTGTAGCTACCCGAGTGTGGTGTTACATGTGGGCAGGGCGTGTGCACACCTGTGTGTGTGTAGATACAGGTGGATGGGCTGGGCAGAGGCTGCCACCTGCAGAGCTGAGGGATTTCCACGCCAGGCGTCCGTGTCCGTGGGGCTCAGGGGTGGGAGGCTCAATCACCCCAGTGGTTGTGGGGCATCTGGGCTGGTCGAGACACCTTTGCTTCCGGATTCAGGGTCCCTTTGGGACTTTTGTCCTTGCTGGGGCGCAGAGTTTTCTGGCAAGGCCTAGAGCTCTCCGAAAGGGGCTCTTCCTCCCCTCCCTCCAGGCACAGCCCCCGACCAGCACCTTATGATCTCACAGAGGGCAAAGGCTAGGAGACTGCGTGGGCTTTCCACCCTGACACTCCCAAGGGGAGGCCTGGAGCAGCCAGCAATGAACAAACAGCAGTTGAGGAAGTGGCCCGCTCGGAGGGGCCGGGAGGGGAGGGGTCCCTCTGAGCAGGTAGGAGACCACGCTGGAGAGCCCCTCCCCAAGCTCTTCATTCAACCCTGCCCTGCCCTGTGTGGCGGATGGAGCCTGTCACCCTAAACCTGGCCTCAGTAAACCAACCCAGGTCAGAGAAAGAGCAGTGCAGCCCCCTCGCCAGTGTAAGTGGAACTGCAGCGAGACCGATAGCTCAGCCATGAAAAAGTCATGAGGCCGCTGGGCTGCAGGCCTGGGCTCAGGAGTGGCACGGGGTCTGGGCCCTGGGAGCAGGTGCACGGCCAGGAGTGAGGACATCAAGGCCCGGTGTGCCCAGCAGGGGGGCCTCACCGGGCTGCGGGCCTGGGCTCAGGAGTGGCACGGGGGCTGCGCCCTGGGAGCAGGTGCGCGGCCAGGAGTGAGGACATCAAGGCCTGGTGTGCCCAGCAGGGGGGCCTCACCTGGCTGCAGGACTGGGGTCAGCAGAGCCTGGGCAGGGGCCTGGCACAGGGATGACGGGGAGGGTGGAGCACCTGGGAACCACTGGGGACAGAGATGCCTACAGGAGTGGCAGCAGTCAGGGCCTGGGACCAAGGTGGGGGCTCCCTCGATGCCTGCGGGGCCTGTGGGGGCTGGCGGTCCTCAGCTGCAGGGCAGCCCCAGGGCTCCGTTTCCAGGGCTCCAGGCCAGCAGGGCGGGGAGCCACCTCTCCCCTAGCTGCAGACGCACAGGCCTGTGCCAGCTCACACCAGCAGCATCAGCGTTGCAGGGCACCCCGCCGGGAGCACGTGCTGGTCACCATGGCAGCAGACAATGTGCCCGCAGGAGCCCAGGCTGGGCTCTAGCTTCCAGGATCAGTGGTGTAGGCATGGGGGACTGGGGTCCTTCCCCTTGTAGCACCAGAGGGCCAACTGAGTGAGGGGAAGGGGGGCCCTCCAACGCCAGGGCAGCCCATCCCCCAGCACCCCAGAAAGGGAACGGTTTCCTGAGAGTTCTCAGGAAAGCCTGGGCGCGGGGGGGGCACCAGGGGTCTGTAGGGGTGCATGGCTTCCTGGTCCCACCACAGTTCTCTCTCTCTGGCTGGCCCAGCACTGAGAGGGATGGAGGCTGAGGTTCAGGCCTCAGGGGAGGCCGCCTGGGGATGCCGAGGCATTCCTTGCCCTCTGGGCCCAGCTGGAGCCAGGAGGTCTTCCACAGCTGGCTGCTCCCTGGAGCAGGGGGCTGGGGGTACTGCTACCCCAAACACCCTCTCAAGTGCCCACCAGGACAAGGCATCCCTCCTAGGTGCAGACCTCAGCCTGGGCTTCAGGCACACACCGGGCAGACGCCTCCACCCACCGGGTTCAGAGGAGAGTGAGGGTGGGGTGTGGAGCTCTCAGAGTGGCAGCAGCTTTGAATGTCCCCAGTACAGCCTGCACAGGTCAGGGTGGCAGGCGAGTAGTACCCGATGTGAGTGGGTGCCTGGCATCTCCAGAGTTGTGGCCGCAGGGCTTCGTGGGAGTCAATGGGAAGCGTGCTCCCTGTTGTCTGAGAACACTTCAGGGGTAGGGGCAGGAGGGGGATAGAGCACCCCAGCCCACCACAGGCCCTTGTGATTTGTGTATTTCTGCAAGAAATGCGTAGGATCCTGGAAACAGCCTCCCTTGGGCAATGTACAACCGGGGCTCTTGGCTGGGATCCAGGGTGGCATTCCCGGGCCCAGGGCTGGCCCAGCAGGTGACCCGCTGGCAACCTTTGCCCACCCTGGTCCATGTGGCCCTTCACACACACACACACACACACACACACACACTCACACTCACATGCATGACGCTGCACCCATTGGCAGAGGCTCAGCCAGCCCTTGACACAAGATTCGGGCCCCTGTGCTATGGTCCCAGCTACTCAGGAGGCCAGGGCTGCCATTGGCCAAGAGAGCACCACTGCACTCCGGCCTGGGTCGCAAAGCAAGACTCTGTCTCTAAAATAAAT